GGGATTAATTGTAATCAATGGACGGGCCATTCTGAATTTTGTAGATAGTTTGTTTTTTCTTAACAACTTACTGGCTTCTCAACTCTTATTTCACCATAATAACCTTTCAGAACTTTATATATAGCAATTAGATGGCTCAGATTCGTTATAACATAACAAGATGTACCCAAATAATATTTGGCAGCCATGCAGTAGTGTTGCTGTGGTAACACTTAGCCGTTGCCCATCAGATTGTAAAAGATCGCTGCCATTAATGGAAGCAGCACCGCAGGAGCTTTGCTGCTGGCCAGAACACACTCTATCTTCTGGACAGGTAATTTAGGGCAGACCATAGGCACACACACGCACACACACACACACACACACACACACACACACACACAGTTCTGACTACCTTCCTTCTCTTTGTTACCATCCGACTATACACTTCTTGACTCCGAATGACATCCCGTAGATCCTGGTGGTGTGGATCAGTGAATCAATGTCTCGTTCATCCTTGGCATACAGCTTGATGTCATCTATCTAGATTAGGGGGCTGACAATTGCTCCATTCCCCAGTTGGTATCCGTAGCCTAAGGAGACCCATTTTTGGATGTCTGCCACTGTGATGCTAACTGGAGCTGTTCAGGGAGGTTGCTATGGTCTGCTCTTAGATCCACTATAGCCACAGAGCACTGTTGTTATGGGTTATGTCAAGTCTTAGGTATGGATAGCTTGCTGTATTTCTTAGGCTTTCCTTGCTGTACTACCCTTTCTTCATCACACTTTTCTGCAGCTCTGATAGTTGGCTTCCCTGTGTGCTACCTTGATCTTGGCCTCTAGTCTCTTTTTCCAGAAAGGCACAGCTGATCACTGTTTTCATGTTGTAGATCAGTTTGTTTCTGCCTGGTTTCCCCTGATGTTGCATTCACATCTTCTAGTAGACCTTCAGAGGGTACTTCACAAAATTGGTCATGGAGGGTCCAAGTTTTCAGCTTAGCCATGATACTATCTCTCAGGTAAAGCGCTCAACGCCTTCAATGTGCCAGTTGTACTTGGGGCTCGGTACTCAATCTTAGGTGGGGTGGGAATGATAATATCTCCCCCCGACCTGACGTGCTGGTTTCCCCTTGTCGTAACAATTATGCTGTAGCTCATCAATCTCTAGTTGTGATAGCAGTTGCTTTTCCCTAATGTTGGAACACTGAGCTATTAGTTGTTTCACTTTTAGTCTAGATGTTGGGTACAGAAAATAACATAGGCCCCACATGTCTGTGAAGGTTCTCAGTCATCCAGGGCATCGGGAGCTTGGAAAGAAAAGCAAGCAACTTAAAGAAGTCCAGACGCTTTTCTTTCCAAGCTCCTTAAAATAGGCCCCACATCCACTTCATGTAACAGCACCCTTTTCTCATCCCTTGTTCCCTTATGCCTTCTTGTTATAACAACAATCTAATAGCATTTAACAAGCTAACAGAACCCACCTTTAGGTCTGCTTTGCACAGGTTGATGAGCTGGACACTGCAAATGCTCTTATAGAATACAGGAATTGTGCAACACTGAGTGGCAACCTGGGTTCATTCAGGAATTTTGTTATCTCATTCATGGAGCTGATATAACAGAGAAGATCAAAGTCCAGTCAAAATGGACTGTGAAGTCAGTAAAATAAATGCCATAGGGTAACTATATACCTCAGAAATCTGCTGACTTTTTTAGATCGGATTTGAGGAGAAACAGATATTATGAGTACACAAAATTCCTTTGGGATAACTTATGCATTATGCAAATTATGCATCAGTTCCAGTGTGCAATATACTGAAAAACTGACTCATTTGCCATGTGCATGTATTAAATGTCACACGCACACACACACACACACACACAC